CAAGATCAGCCAATCCTGTCCACAGAAAGGTAATGAGAGTATGAGTACGTCCTGGTAAACAAACAGTAGAAGACAATAGCATTAGAGTTACTAAGCCATGACCATGTAGACGCAGTAAAAACCCCATAAACAAAAGAGTAATGAAACTACACAAGTAGGGTAAGGCTGGCTCTGGACATGATTCACTTGTTTTTATGGCGTCACTGAGTGGTCACCTGCTGTGCAACAACAAGCAGTCCAAAACTGCGAATACCCTTGACGTCTTCTAAAGCCACGTCCCTCAGGGAGTGGCTGGAGAAGACCAAGTCTAACCTCCCAAAACATCCTTCCATGATGGCTGTATTGCATTTGACTTTGGTCATGGAAACAGGGATAAACAATCATTTCCATGTACCATGTCTAGTCTTGGCTCGGCGGATGAAAACTCCCAGTGCATGCACGGGACACAATAAGAGTTGGTCCTTGTCTTCCACTCCCACGATGTACGATAATGGTGGGACAGTGAAAGAACGATCGGGTTGTCCTGGCAACTGGTTTTTAGCTTTAAAATCCCAGCATAACAATCAGGTTGACTGCTCTTTGCGTACCACGTTCAAAGCGTAAAGCGATATTGAACGCATCGAATCTTGCTCACTCTTGCCGCCGTGGCTAGTGCCAAGAGAAAAATTGTCTTCTTGGTGAGGTTGAAAAATGATGTTGCATGGAGAGGCTCGAATGGAGTTCCACGCAAACACCGAATTACCACATTCAAATCCCACACAGGGGGACTTTGGCCTTCTGATCCTCAAGCCTAAATGAGCGTAATAAAGCGAGTTGAGGGTCACATGCCATAGCAATAGCCTTAGGCAATCTTGCCTAGGGCTCTTTGTAAACTAACCAGCCTGTGAAGATGAAACCTGCCTGGTGTGGAGTGTGGTTGCCTGCTGTGTGGAAAAGCGTACGCTCTTAACCACTTCCAAACCTGCACAGATGCGTCTTCGAATAGGTGTGACGCTGGGGATAGATCTGATAAGACTCCTCCTAAGAAGTTCGACTCTACCATCCACCAACTGAGGTGAGTCCTGAGATGGGCTGGTAGAGCGAATGATACCGACGGGTCCTGTTATCAAGTCTTTAGCTGATATAAACAGTCCCAGAAGCACTTGCCATTGGTGTAGTGTGATGGACTGCTGCAGGTCAGTGTACAAGTGGTGCACAGATGGGTAAAGATGGTAATGACCACCCACTGGAAGTGGATTGCCACATGCAGGTAAGCATCCTGCAGGTTGAGGCTGATCAGGGAGTCGTAAGCATTGATGCTGCCCCTGAGCAGTCTCAGGTAATGAGACAAAAAGAACGGAGGACGCTCTAGGTAATGTTTGTTGAACAGTGCAAGTTTGTGTATCATCCACATCTTGTTTCAATCCCGCTTGGGAACGAGAAAAATGAGAGAGTAGAACACAGGTGTTAGAGCTGGGGTCTGCACAACCTTTATGGCGTGTCGACTATTGGGATGACTGGAGGTGGGAGATCTCAGTTGTGATTGTCCACTGGGTCAATGTTTCCCCCTCCAGTCCCCGCTCCTACCCCTGGAACTACCCCTACAGGATTGAAAGGAGCCTTGGCCTTTGCCCCTGCTTCGTCCTTTGCCACAAAAGGAGGAGTGATCGGTAGTCTGGTCCTTGAGGGATGAGTGCCTGGGTCGATACTTCCCTGATTTCTACGCACATTGGCCAAGGTTTTTGGATACATGTTCTAGAGTCTTGAGTGCTATGCTCGAGACTTTGGTATGCATGTCAGTTGTTTGGCCATTAAATAATGTTGAGGCCAACCATGGCTGACAGAGCAGCTGGCGCATAAATTCAGAATCCCAATTGGATAAGGCCAGATACCCCAGACGGTGGGAGCCAGTAATTACAGCTAAAGCCACCTTAAGGTGATTGCACATGTGGTCGATCTGCCTTTGTTGGAAGTTTACCACCATCTGGAAATGATCGATCCTATTGGCATTGGTCTCAGAAAGATCTTGGTCCATAGCACAGGACAATGAAGCTAATGCCGACAAGATTTATCGGGATTTCCGTTTCTATGAATGAGAAATGGCTGTCAGGGATCTTGATGGTAATAGGCTTGGACAAGCCTGTCATCCTATGTAGATCTTCAAGTTGTGAGCATGCTCTTCATCCCATAGGCTTGTATGCGAAAATCATCCCTAAATATTTGCGACTTAAAAGTTGGTGAGATGTTAAGTCCTCATCCAGCGCTCTGACCATATCCTTTAACATGGGGTCAGGCAGAATGGAAGTAGGGTGCGACCAGTTCATGTCCCTCTTGTCGACGCCTGAGCCAGGGGAAGGCGCTACCGCTGAAAGACGGTCAGCCATCCTTTCTGGCATCTGAGCAAGGCCAAGGTGCATATCCCACTGCATGAGGTTGTCAAGCGACTCAGCTAGTGACACATCAGAGGAGTCTGAATGATAATGCCATGAATGGTGGACAGGAGAACGGCTTCGCTGTATGGACTTTAACGCCTTGGAAGCTCATCCGTACCGGAAACAATGAGTCCCGTGATTTGGGCCGAGACTATGACGGAGTACCCAAGCCCACCCCTGGCAAAGCCATAATCGTAGATGGGACTGTAAGAGATGCCAGAAGCGCTACAGGCACTTGGGGTATAGCACGAGCTTGGATAAGTGTATTCACCTGAAGTGCTGGTGGTGCGTAAGACACCGAAGATGCCACAGTAGTTTGCTGATAGGCAAGCACAAGCGCCTGAACAAAGAGAAGTGTATGTGCTTGTTGATACATGGCTTGCATAAAGGATTGCATCCACGTCTGTGCCGACAGAGCAGAGTAGCCCAGAGGTGCAGATAATAAATGGCCATGAGGATTGGTTAGTGCAGGCACAGACAATAAGGCCATAGCCGTAACAAAGTGTTGGCGGGTAGCATAGGCTTAGTCACATTGCCTGGAGGCGAACGCATTGTGGACGCACCTTGAGGCACTAAAGGAGCCGTCAGTGTAGATACGCCCTAAGGCACTGATGTAGTAGATGCGCCCTGAGGTACGTAGGCCGGAGCTATCGCAGACATTACAGATGTAGTAGGCTGCACAAAAGCAGTGGATGCCAATGTAGATGCTGTCATAGTGCTTTGCGCTTTGGGATGTAATAGGCGACTGTATGATGTCGACATTCCCTGAGGGTGTGGATAGCGCCCACCAAGAGGTCGAATGCTGGGTAGTAATTACCGGGGAGGTAGGCATGAAAGACTCTTGAAAGTCTGTCATCCTCTTGGGGCACCTGCGAGACTGCTAAGCCAAGCGCTTTGCCGATGCCAGCTTATACCTGGAGAAACTTACAGGAGAAAGTGGAGCACAAAAAATACACTTGTGTGTCGAAGTGCAAAGTATAGTGGAGTTTTAACATTGAGGGTGAGGATCTCTGGTAGATTTTTTCTCCCCGGTAATTAGTGCAACGTGCAAGCGTAAAAAGCAAGCCAATTTAAAATTGAAGTAGTAAACAAGTTGTTTGTCCTTAATAAAGAGCAAGTTAAACAGATTTTATTCCCCACAAAAGAAATATATTTTAATCTGTAACACTATAATAACCGTACAATGTTTTAAAGTGCAAGCAACTAGCGCCTATTGTTAAACAAATACGCTAAAGTTTCTATAAATATGGCCTCCAATTACAGAGAACTAAGTAAGTTAAAGTTCACAATAATGGATAATTAACGTAATATAAGTATAGTGTTAGGCTATAACCGTGGATGAAGTGCTCAGCCTACTTACACACTATGCTAACACCTAGCCAGCGATGAAATACAGAACCATATTTTGAGAAGCACTGGGACAAGTTAGCAATTCAAAATGGCTGAACAGAACAACAACACCTGAAAAACTATGCCACACTGTCACCTTCACGTGCTAATAATACATACAACTGCATATAAAGCACACCAAACCGGACACCACCCTCACAGGGGGAAGAATACCGGTTTTTAGATAGAAGTGTTGAAAGTCACAAGGACAGAAAACTAGTTGGCAGCACATGTGTTCTGTACCGCGATCAACACTAATATGGAGAAATCAGTCATCAGCCACTTCCGGTATGACGTGGCAGCTAGTGATTGGGAGGGTCCTGCTTCAGAATGGAACAACACTTTTCTCTTTTCTTTTCTTCACTTCTGTCAAAAGGTTAGCAGTAAATGCATTTAGGAGTAGTGTGGGATAAGTTTAAAAAATTAGTGTTTATCAATATGGCTACTTTGGCAGTCATATTGACCAATGGAAACAAACCTCTTGAACAGAGTCATTTGGCATTATTAGTGATAACAGCATACCAAATTAAGTTTCAATTGCCTACTGGTTTCAGATATGAAGATCTTTACAAGTGCTGGCAATACCGTCGCTCGACGCTGGATAAGCATATAACATAAGCTCGGTGACTTTCAGTCAGGGGAGCTAAAAATGCACACTTTTGTCATATGATAATTCTAGAGTCATTGATGGCATGTCCAAATTGACAGCCTGAGCCAGATCAACCACCTTGTCTGAAATGGTATTTTAGATTGAATGCAGTTAAAAACAGACCTTTAATAATGTTACACAAACTGTCTCTGTAGAGAAATACAAGGCAGATACTAAGACCTGAAAGAGAAAACAAGAAATCTTTCTTATCCTTGAAACATGTCTTAGGTAAACAACAACACTTGAATCCTCTTTGATTTGTTGTATGAGCTGTCTGTCACAACCTGGTCATGTGGAATGTCAGCATACATGAGGTAAAGCACTGGCCAATATCACATGAAACACTCAAATAAAAACACTAAAAATATTGCATCTTTAAATTCCAAAGATTTAATATGGGCACAAAAAACAAGTCTTTTCTCTCCTTGTTCCCTGTCAATACACCCATGGTTTATGAGCATAGACTGTAAGCAACTGCCAAATACAGGGTGATAATTCTACTGCAAGATTTTTAACTCACTGCAAAACTAACCCCGCTTATTCCTTAATTGTACCCTGTTGACTGAAATTATATTATCAAGGTTTATATGCATGGACAGCTTTCTGTCAATATTTGGATAAGAAACATCTTGTAATGGTGCGTGAGAACCAACTTTGTGCATGTGTATCCGATGGAGAGGTGAACTAGATCCAAATACACAGCTTTTGATTTGTTCCCAGAAAAAATTGGAATTTAACAATGTTGTGTGGAATGATGGCTACGTCTTGTTTTTCTTGTTGGATCTTGAACCTTTCTCTTTCTCTTTGCGTCGCTTCACTATCTGTCGTTGATGTTCCTTCTCCATATCACGTTCGTTTATGTTCAGTTTAAGCGACTGAAAAAGACAACCCAAGTATGAATTACATGTATGTGTGGCAGTGTATATACAATGTATATGTGTATTTTCTGTATTCATTGTAATGAAATGATGTTTTGACCTTTAACTGTATGAACATCGGAGCTTCATACAATGTTTGGCCCTCACTCTATGAAGGTGCATACTCCAATGAACTCACTCAGAGTAAAAGTCAATTCTTTTAATTTTTTATGTCACTATTTTTTTACCCAGAATGACATAGGCCTACATCTATTAACAATTTTATTTAGTACGTGACTTCATGTTTACACTGAGAGGCATAAACAACCAGCTGTATAGCGGAATAAAATAGTTCCTCAAAAAGAGAGGTGATGTGAGAATATGTATGCTCAACTAGCTGAACAGGAACATCTGTTGTAGTTTGTTTACTACAAATGTATTCAAATAATTTAGTAAAATCTAAATATTTTTTACATTTGTATACTTATCCTTTATTACTCCTTAATGCATTCATTGCTTACCTTACAACAACTAGAAGGACAGCGCAACTGCGAAAGTCCTGGGTGAAGAAATATAGTTGTTGTTCTGAAGTCCCTTTACTGACCTTCCGGCGCTGTCCTGTGACAAAGTGGGGAGGCAAGTCGTGCAACGGGTGGGCCTTATATGTAGTAATGCAGGATAAGTATACAAATGTAAATAATATTTAGATTTTACTAAATTTTTTACTTATCCTGTAATACTCCTTAATGCATCTGTATCGGACGGTTTGGAGGTGGGTAAACCTTCAGAATACAGAAACCTCATTAATTCACACCCTGAAATACGACACCAGTTGGTCGATAAACTGTGAAGCGGAAAAGTTAAGAAAAACGCCATTACGGTAGGGTTGTTCAAAAATCAAAATGATTGAACATAGGAATTACAAAGAAATTCCCAATACACACTTAGTAATAAAGAAAATAATAGCTAATCACCTAATTCTTTACTTACTACATCATAGAGCCATCGTTGACAAACAAGAATGTCTAATATTCTTCTTGGCGGCAACTGAGTGACTGCACATGGAAGTAGGCTAACTCTGTATAGGGCGAGTTCATTATTTGTGTCAGTGGTTGGTAACCTGCTTGGTTACAACCAGAGGGCCAAACTGTGCACGCCTTCAACGTCCTCGAGAGCCACAACGCGTAGATAATGACTAACGAAAACTGTGTCGAACCTCCAGAAATATCCTTCCATGATTGTTCTATTAAAACAATTGCCGTGTAGAGCCATGGTAAGGCTGACACCCTGAGATCGTGAGGGTAATTCGCTCTCGGTGGATTCCGTTTTGGTGATCTTGTAGGTCTGAAGGATGACTGCATAACCATAGAGATATGGTATTTGTGACTAACTTCGGTCGTGGACCTAGTAAACATGGGTATAAATAACCGCTTCCTCGAACCGAGCCTAGTCTTGGAGCGGCGAATGAAAACTCAAACTGCTCACACTGAGCCCAGAAGAAGTTCACCTTCATGTACGGCTTCCACAATAGTCGATATTGGTGGGATGGTGAAGGAACAGTCGGGTTGGCCTGGTAGCTGATTTTAAAAATAATCCCAGCATAACCCGAGATGTACCGCTACGTGCGTCCAATGCTCAAAGCGGAACTGGGTGGTGTCGATCACATGTAGTTCACTCACCCGTGCCGCCATTGCTAATGCCAGGGGAAACCATTGTTTTCTTGGTGAGGTCATAAAATGAGGATGCATAGAGGGGCTAGAAGGGGGCCCTCGTAAACCTTGTTCCACGTAGGTACCACGTTCAAGTCCCAAGCAGGTGGGCGGAACTTAGCCTCCTGATCCTCAAGCCTGAATGAGCGTAATAGGGCCTGTAGTTCCGTGACCTTAATCACCTTGTGATTTTCCTGGAACAGCCAACACTGAGTTAAGTGCAACCAAGTACGCAGTAATGGTGCTACCTTCCAAGTGTCTTTGGATACGCAAATGTAGGAGGTATTCCGCTAGGAATTGTTGTGACGAAATCGTAGGGTCTTGATTCTTTTGCCTAGCAAAAAGTCTCAAATGAGAGAGGAACGATGAACTAAAGCTATAGCTTTGCTGCCCGTGCTGAAATAACCCTTCACACTTAAACGCCTTTAAAAGAAGAACCATGAGTGCAGACGTTGGGTGATACAATTTGCTGTGAGGATGGATGAGTAGGTTGGACCACTGTGGGAGGGATAGTGGATCGTCTTCTGCTAGATTTTTCTGAACTCGACAAACCACCCTCTTGTCGGTCATCAGGGCACGACCAAGGTGAGAGCAAGATACCTTGTCCCCTTGATCCCCTGTATCACCTTTGGAAGTAAAACTGGTGACGGAAAAGTGTATGCTTTTAGCCCTTCCCAAGGGATACTGAACTTGTCCACCGTCCAAGTCTGCGGATCCGGTAACGGGGAGATATACGTCATGAGTTGGTGGTTGGTTGGTTGCCTGAACTTCTGAAGCAGTAACTGGGATGCTTCTGTGAGAAGTTTCCACTCGTAGGGAGCCACCCTGTCTGGACGTGATAAGGTACCGGTCAGTATGTTTCGACATCCTGGGATGTGCAGAACTATGAACTGTAGTTGCAGCCGATCCACTAGATGGAAAAATCTGAATGTCTGTTGAAGTAGAGAGTGGGAGTGTGTTTTTCCCTGATTGTGCAAGCACCACACTGCAGTGCTGTTGTCTTTGGATATTGCGAGTTGGGCTGACAGTAGTTGATTCTGCCAATGTGATAAGGCCAGAATTTAAGCTTCGAACTCCAAGTTGTTTATGTGCCACTTTCACTGAGCGCCGGACCATAGCTTAGGTTATCTGGTCTTGTAAGTGAACACCCCACCCCTGATGGGAGGCGTCCACTAACTCCCAACTTCGCCTTGTTGATTATCCATCCCAGTTAAAAAGATATAGTAGCCATCTGCCTGGTGAATTCCAGGTGGCGTACTAACGTTGACATGTGTTGATGATACAGTAGATTGTCCTCTATCTACAATATGTTCTTGAGTATAGTGCACACCCGAGTATAATGCACACCCCCCTCTAGCGGATTCAGTATTTTGGAAAATAAATAAATCGAATATCAAGCGCAGAAAAAAATTACACCGAGCCGCTTTAGCAAATTCCGGTAAACGAACGGGTGATGAGAAACTTGGTCAGTACAAATTTGAAATTAGGGATAAAAAAATCACCAGACATGTTGATTTACTGTTGAAATTGTATTTTTTGTTCTGCTAGGCATTGTTTTACAACCAGGGATTAAGATTACTTTGTGTATTATTTTGTAACCTAAGCCGGAAACAGCAATCAGCTGTACACACGTTTTGATGGAATCTACTGATGATTCGGTCAAGACACACCCAATGATATAACTTTACAAGATTTTAATGCAAGGATCGCCAAAAATTGTACCTGAAACTATTTTTTTTATCAGGAATAATATTCATGTATTCCAATATCTTGTTATTTTAGTTGAAGCTTTTACTAAATATACTTCAAATAATTATAACACGAAGCGAAGCAGCTGATCACTATTGCCAGTTATTATTTTTCACATGGAACCAGTTTGACCAGTCACCGTCGAGGCTCCCGCGCACGTGATTGCGAGAACTACGTGTTGACATAGAATCGTCAAACTATAACAAATATGACTTTTAACGAGTCAAAGTATGGCATTTATGATATATGTATCCATTCTCTGTCAACTAAAGTTCGTTTCAAAGGGTCAATAGCGGTAATCTGACCGAGGTTGCTGTTAATAACGAACGGTGAGTTGTGCGATTGCTTCACACGAAATTAATTAAAACAATATTAAAAGGAATTTTTAATAAAATTTATGAAATAAGTTACAAACATAAGTCCAGATATACAAAGAACACTTTTTATAGCCTGACTGTAATTACATGATTAATTTGCGCACTTCAGTATGGATTTGTTGACATGGTATTTCCTGTGTTACGTGCTCACGGTAATGTTCTTTCAGTTGGGGAAAAAAATATCAAAACTCATTATTGCGTGTATAATGCACACCCCCTTCTACACAGCTGTGTTTTTTGGAAAAAAAGTGCACACTTTAATCAAGAAAATATGGTACGACTTGAAACAAGTGTAGATACACAGTTATTGGCTTCTCATTACTCCTGTAAATAGCCATAGGGTCACTGACATGCCAAATGGGAACACTGCCCACTGGTAGTGAACCCCATTGAACTGGACCTAAGGAATCTATGGTTGGCATGGATAGTTGAGACTGATCAAGAATCAAACGTATTGATGTTGATTATGAGAGGTCTCAACGTGGTGAGGCGGCAATAATGTGGACGCTTCACATAACATTCATTGAACACGGAGAGATTGTGTATCATTCTCATCTTGTCTGGGTCCTTCATGGGTACCAGGCAGATGTGAGGATAAAACCCTGGTGTAAAGACTGGGTTGTGAACCAACTCTACAGCTCTTCTTACCAACAGTATGTCTCTGTTGGATTTTCCAAATCAAACTGTGGTCAACGGTGGGGTTACCCCTACGTGCATACGGAAACCATAATATAGTACGATGAGTATGTAATCATCCTTGAGACCTGTCTCTGCCACGCCCTTTCCCAGTAAGGGAAAACTGGTCTTCCTTGAGAGACGCGTGTTTAGGCTTATAATTGCCTGACTTGCCAGCCCACTCGGATAGACTAAAAGAGACGTGCTCTAGAGTCTTGAGCACAGTGTCATTCCAAGCGTTTTGGGAACTTCGCGTGCGTATCTGCGTTCTGTTCATTGAACAGGGGAGTAGATGACCAAGGTTGATGTAGCAGTCTGCCCTTGAAACCAGAATCCCAGTTGAAACACTGTAAAGTCTGGGTGTAACGGTAATCTCCGCCAGGCCGGGCTCAAGATGAATTTTCCTGTGGTCAATCTGACACTGTAGGAAAATCACCATAGCTTGGAAGTGATCTAATCAGATAGGGTTATCTTCTGATAGATCCTGATCCATGGCAAACATTGACAATGTTGGTGGCTTAAATGATGGAGCAAATGTGAGTTTGGAGAAGTCTTCCTCTAATGACCTCGTGGTGTCCCTCTTATCTACCCCGTTACCAGGGGAGGGCGTTACTGACACGAGATGGTCTGCTACCCATAGGGGTACTTGTGCTAAGCCGGTGATCTGCTCCGGTGCGCAGTGCCTTCTCTATCAGCAGGATTTGATGACCCGCCTGGAGTCATGTGGTGATGTTCCCGTACGTGCTGCCCGGTGATGTACCAGAAAACACATTAGGTATTTGGTATACGTTAGGCGCAGGTGTAGGCGCTTACACTTGTACCAAGGATGTTGGAACATCACTAAGCTGATTATGTGCCGGTTGTGACGTCATTGTAGAGACCTTGATTGGTACGCAGATGCTGCGCTCAGCGCAGGTCTATGAGACAAGGCTCATTGGTGATGACTGCATCAATGTAGAAGCACTTGGACCATTGTCCAATTAGAGTACGGGAACGGTGTTGACGCCTGAGCGTACATCTGCTGCGTTGGATATGTTGGAACAGCGCTAAGCCGATTGTGCGTCGCCTGCGTAATAGAGGGGCTTGGGTAGTAGTCAGCGCTGCGCTTGGCGCAGGTAACTGAGACACAAAGCTCAAAGGTATTGACTGGACCATGGCTTGCGTCTGTGCTACCCCTATCATAGTGTCTTGAGACATTGGTGTTGTCGCCGACGTCACAAATTTAACAGATCTGGATGTGTCCGGCGGCTGAAAATTAAGAGCAGTTACGATACTCACAAAATCCTCTGGCATTGTTGATTTTGGTGGAGGGTGCACTTCTGCAGTCACAGTTATGGGCGTCATATTACCCGCCGATAATAACAGCTGGGTGGTAATGACCAAACCATGTCCTTCACTATTCAGCGATTGTGACATTCCTCTCGTCTTGCGACGGGATTACTACAAAATATGATTGTGAGTAACCTGCTTTTATACTGTAAAGTCGTTGGAGAGAGATTTACACAAAAGTTACATTTAGAATTTGGCGAGCACATGAACGTGCATGCCGAGGTACATGGATAAAGATATTTGGGCGATTTTTTCCACGACAATTAGTACAACGCTCAAGCATAAGTTACGCAATTAAACCATTGTTGATGAGACGGTACTGGAAGAATGCCGTAGAATTGAACAATAATCTATCGGCAAAAATACGAGTTGAAAGTGTATACAATATTTTTATATACACAACTGAATGTAAAACCAAAGCTATTTACTTTCAGATTTTAGCGAACACATATGTGTGCAAGCCAACCAATGTGGATGATAATCTTGGTAAGATTTTTCCACGACAAATAGTACAATCGTGCAAACATAGGTATGCAATTAAAGAATTATTGATGAAGCAGGACTGGAAGAAGGCCGTAGATTTGGTATTAATCAATCGGCAAACATATTTTTAACGAGTTGAAAGTGTATACAATAATTTATACATACGCAACTCACTGTTACGCCAAAGCTAGTAGTATTTAAGAGCACAAGAATATGTTATACATACTTAGCTGAGAATTGTAAACAATTTGACTACCTTGGCAGGCAAACAATTGTAACATAATTCAAAATGGCGGTGAACAACAAATATGTGGCTGGAAAAAAGACAAGAGTCTCTTCACACCTAATTAATTCACATAAAACTACACAACATGGTAAAAAATAATATGAAAAGAATACATCACCCATCGCAGATCGCATCGCAAATTTTAGGATTGTTGACGGAAACTGAAGGTCTAAATTAATCCAAAAGGAGAGCTCCGCTGGGACGTGTCCTTGCTGTAGTGCGACAAGCAGTGATGTGAAGAAGATGACCTTAGGTGTCATCAAGGTCACAGGACAGCGACGGAAGGTCAGTGAAGGGACTTCAGAACAACAACTTTATTTCTTCACCCAGGACCTTCGCAATTGCGCTGTCCTTCTAGTTGTTGTAAGGTAAGTAGTGAATGCATTAAGGAGTAATAAAGGATAAGTAAAAAATATCATCTATTGATGAGAAAGGCCTGTTAAGTACTACCCCAATAAGTCGGTCACAATGACAGCACGTCGTAATACATGTGCATCAAGTACAAGATGTCAAATGGCTGACACGATAACGTGACTGGAGAGATTTCCAAAGTTGTTAATGAACCTGTGTTGGTCATCATTGATCAATTGGTCGATCATTGAAAGATGATTGTAAAGATATGTCAAATAGACACTATGGTATAGTCGTAGATTGCTGTAGACTACAATACACACGATAGTTTGGATGTGCATTTCTTTGTTTTGTTCACTAGGATAGGTCATAGCGAGGATATTCGTGAATGATCATGCAGACAAACTCTCTGATGTTTCTCAATGTAAACTAAAACACTGAGTTCAAAATCAAAGGGTCTAAATGATCAGAAACAACGCATCGTTATGTGTTCGTGCCTGTGAATCCCCAGGGGTTCCCCTCGGAATGTGGAAGTAGTCCGTCAGTGTTATGTCATTTCAAGAATATGGCCTCATGAAAAACGTATGAATGTCAAATTGTGTCGTTCATGTTAATTACCTTTATGGCCCTTTCCACTGTTAGTCCTTCACTCATTCAATTTGATTCAATTCACACCACTGACAGTTTATGTCACATCCCCGCCATCCGTAACCACGCTACGTCTTGTTTTTTCCCCATCAAACACCTGAGCTTCCCCTAATGCATGTGCACTCGTAGTCAAGTTCAGAGGTCACTTCCAGTACACTCAAATGTAAATATATCACACAATGTAGTTAGGACTGACATATTATCAATCTCCCACTTCTTTAAAGTTTTTCTTCAAATGTGATAAGGCTGGAGTGACAACCTTTGCTGGCTGTGTCAAAATTCTGTTTGTTAATATGCAAAGCCTTCCCTCAGACTTTCTCAGTAAAAGTAAAACAAAAAATTCTCCACTAAGATTTCTTTAAACCAGTCTCTGTACAGTACCGGGTATATCACAAGAACAGTTTCTTCACATCATATAACCTCAAATATTTTTGATTTGTATAAAATAGTTTTCTGTAAAAGAAGGACGCAGACTGTTCCAACAAACATTTTTTTTTCTTCTTTTAAGATGAATCTTCATAAAAGCAGGTTAAAAGATGATGCAGTTTATAATAATATCTTCACAGAGTTCCTTCTTCAAGGACCCATAGTAACTTCATAGGTGAAGCGCC